GACCAAACAAACCAACAACTGAGCCACAGGGCCTGCCCACAGGCCAGTGTTTTAATTGACAGACAACCTCACAGTCTATTAACAACACACACCCAAATCAGGCCATATTTGCAATAGAACATCACCCATTTGGGGGCAAAACGCTGCAATGTAAAAAACTGTTTGCTTGCCCCACCCTTAATTGGGGCTCTAACTTTCCCAGTTGGGTTACTGCACCTTGGTTCATTATGACAGTATTGCAGATGTCAACATTGCCTTTGCCACCTGTGCACGCACATAGCTCCTTGACTTAAAGTATATTTGCCAGTCAGACTCCCAGGCCCAATATTCTCTTCTGTTGTACTTTGGTTTGTTTGACCTCTTCAAATCTCATGTTGAAATTTCATTCCCAGTGTTGGAGATGGAACTTAATGAGAGGTGTTTGGACCATGGGGACAGATCCCTCATGAATAGATTAATGTCCTCCCTTGGGATGGGTGAGTTCTCACTCATTAGTTCTCATAAGAACTTCTTGTTAAAAGAAAACAAAACCTGGCACCTCCCTCCCCTTCTGTTGCTTCCTCTCTTGCCATGTGATCTCTGCACACAGCAGATCCCCCTTCATCTTCCACTACATGTGGAAGCAGCCTGAAGCCCTCATGAGAAACAGATGCTAGTGCCATGCTTCTTGTATAGCCTAAAGAACCATGAGCCAAATAAACTTCTTTTTCTTTTTATAAATTGCCCAGCCTCAGGTATTCCTTTATAGCAACACTAAACAGACTAAGTAAGACACCTTCAAATTACACAACTGTGTCATGATCCTGGCTTGGCTCTCTGCCACAACCTACACCCCACACTCCCAGACCTAAAAGGAAACCTGGTAGAGGTTACTACTACCCATCCCTTTTTTAACATTTAATGAAGATTATTGCATTCACAAGGAGGCAATTGTCCTTGAGGAGAGGATAGTCCACTTCCCAGTGCCTCTCCTATTTCCCTACTGCAGCTTTCCACCATGAATTCCTGTCCTGAGTATTTGACCGTGGTCACCACAACCACCCCCTTTGTGTTAAGGACTGAATATTTATGTCACTCCTCAAATGCATATGTTGACGCCCTAACCCCTAGTGTGGTAATATTTCGAGGTATGGTCTTTGGAAGGTGATTGGGATTAGATTAAGTCACAAGGGTGGGACCCTCATGATATCAGTGGCCTTATAAAAGCAGGAAAATCTTCCCTTTCCCACCTCTCCCGACCTTACCCACATGCATGAACCAAGGAAGTGCAATCTTAGGACATGATAGGAATGCAACCATCTGCAAACGAGGAAGAGAGCCCTCACCAGGAACCAAATCAGCCAGCTCCTGATCTTGGACTTTTCAGATTCCAGAACTGTGAGAAGTACATTTCTGTTGTTAAAGCCATCCAGTCTATGATAGTTTGTTATAGCGTCTCAAGTAGACTAAGACAAATTGTATTACCAGGAATGTGGTACTGCTGTGACAAGATCTAAACATGTGGAAATGGCTTTGAAACTGGGTAATAGGTAAGTACAGACTGAAAGTTTTAAGGTTCCTGCTAGAAATACAAATGTTAAAGGCCCATTTAGATAAACTGGAAGTCAAACCTGATGAAAAGGGTACTTTAACCAGACACAGGAAGAGTTTGTCCATTGTGATGAGTGTACACCATATTATAGAGGAATGTAAACAAGAAAACTAGTTCCTTGATTGGGGAATACATGGCTCTTAATAACAGCATGGTAAGTTTCCTGATTACATTGAACAATTCAGACATACCAAGAAAAGCCAAGAGTACAAAATCAAGTTATACTGTAGGAAAACATGCTTTTTCTAGACCTTGAAAATAAACATTTCAGTGTCAGGTCATAACAGCAGAATTATAACCAGAGAAAAAGTTACAGGAGTTGACAAAATGATGGAAGGAGACAGTTATCATCATAGTCAAGGGAAAAAACATACCTTTTCAAAGGGATAAAGAACAGAAGGCAGTAAGTATGGCCTGCAAAATGGAATTCAGTAAGGTACCACAAAGGTTGAACTTCTGGGATATTAATCTGAGATGTTTCAAGAAGACACAGATTTCAGAATTAAAAATGAAAACCTTTTGCAGTTTCATTAAGAGCAAAAGAATACTTTAAGAAAACCAGCAGTAGGCCGGGCGTGGTGGCTCACACCTGTAATCCCAACACTGGGAGGCTAAGGTGGACGGATCACGAGGTCAAGAGATGAAGACCATCCTGGCCAACATGGTGAAACCCTGTCTCTACTAAAAATACAAAAATTAGCTGGACATGGTGGGACTTGCCTGTAGTCCCAGCTGCTTGGGAGGCTGAGGCAGGAGAATCGCTTGAATCTGTGAAGTGGAGGTTGCAGTGAGCCGAGATGTCGCCACTGCACTCCAGCTTGGTGACAGAGCAAGACTCCGTCAAAGAAAGAGGAAAGGAGAGGAGAGGAGAGGAGAGAGAAAGAAAACCAGTAGTAATTATAGTCTATCCCTTTGGTTCTGTAGCTTCTTCCCAATGTCAAACTAGTTGATCATAAATATCAACCGATCTTTAGTGGTGATTTGTGAGATTTTTGGTACACCCATCTCCTGAGCAGTATACGCTGAACTCAATTTGCAGTATTTTATCCCTCACCCCCTTCCCACCCTTTCCTGTGAGTTCCCAAAGTCCATGGTATGTCCCCAAAGTCCATTCTTATGCCTTTGCATTCTCATAGCTTAGCTCCTACTCATGAGTGAGAACATACGATGTTTGATTTTCCATTCCTGAGTTACTTCATTTAGAATAATAGTCTCCAATCCCATCCAGGTTGCTGTGAATGCCATTAACTCATTATTTTTTTATGGCTGAGTAGTAGTCCATCATATATATATACTACAGTTTCTTTATCCATTCGTTCAATCATGGGCATTTGGGTTGGTTCCACATTTTTGCAGTTGTGAATGTGCTGCTATAAACATGCATGAGCAAGTTTTTTTTTAATCACCACTAAAGAACTTACTTATGTAGCCAGATACCTACTACCTGTTCCCCAAGAACCTATGGAGAAGAAAAAATTTAAAAAATAAAGAATAAAAAACAATAACAGCAGGAACATTATTTGATAATCTTCCTAGCTCTGATTATAATAATCAGTGCTCTCCAAATGTTTTTACAATCAAGAAACAAATATAGAATGATAATATTTATACACTGAAAAAAAAAATCAACCAATCTGCCAAGGGAAGGATACCAAACCTTTTGATAAAGTCAGCTTCCTGAATTGCTCACCCAAATGTGTATGGGATGAGGTTCTAATATTACCTTGGATTCTTCCCATATATCTAGTTGACATAGTCAGTAATTGTTTCAGTTAGTGAGAGTGGCTATACCCTGCACAGTAGACCTTAAAGGATGTTTGGTTTGAGTAGTGAAAGTTTCTAACAAAAGAGGAAGCTTGAACATCTTTACATTAATGCAAAACAAAAACAAATCTTAGTCAATGAAAAAGAGTCAAATGAAGTCTTGGTGCACCATCTTGGGAAAGCTGTCTACTTCATGATGCCATCTGTTTCTAAGAAAGATTTCCCTTGGATATTCTCAATTTTAAGTCACCTATAGGTTGACAAGTCCAAGAAACCAAGGGAGCTCTCTTTAGTCCAGAGACATGAACCCAAGGCTCAAGACACTGAAGCTTTACTGCGGTGTTGACTAGTAAGAAGACCCTGGTATGGTTTTTTCAGTGAGACTCAAGGGCAGTTTTTCTCTAGTGTCATCTCCAAAAGACCCAATCTTTAGGTTCCAGGTGATGGAAGATCTGAACATTATCAATTGGTGGTTCATAGAAAGCCTACTTCAAGTGGTGGACATGTACATTTGCAAAATGCATCAAGGCCTTGCATTATTGAGTCACATCAGAGCTAACAAGTACAGGGAATACACAATGTTGTATTATCAAAGGAATAGATGCTACAGTAATTATTTCATAAGGGGTTAGTTTATGTTTTCCCATAGAGGTTAATCTAATTACCATTAAGGCTAGTGGTAAAAACTTTTGACCAAAATAAACCACTTGACTCTGTTAGTTTAACTAATTTTAGCTTCAAGATACCATTTGTCCGTTCAACCTTTCCAGAATCGTGAGGATGATAGTGCAATTGGGTTTGAAAAATCTTATTTATTAACTTATCCTATAAAGTGAATTGTCCAACAACTTTCTCCAAACCTGAATTTGTGGCTGTAATCATGGTTTATTTGGAATATTTTGGGTCAACAGTGTCCTTCTTGGGCACCATTCTCCTCAGCAGTGCACGCTCTGCGCGGCAAATGTCACACACAGGTCAATATGCATCCTGACGTTAGGAAAGGATTACTGTTGGGGTTTTGGGACTCGAACTGGCTTCTCTGCTCCTCAACTTGCAGACAGCCTATTGTGGGACTTCACCTTGTGATCGTGTGAGTCAATTCTCCTAATAAACTCCCCTTCGTATATACATCTATCTTATTGTTTCTGTCCCTTTAGAGAAACCTAATACAAATTCCCCACCTCAATATGTTTCTGAAACTGAAGTGATGTGATCCTAGATTGAACAGCTTTTCAATAATATGAAAGTTATGTTACAACTTAATATTAAAGTAAACATATATTTAAAACCTTTCTCTGGCTGGGCACAGTGGCTCACACCTGTAATCCCAGCACTTCGGGAGACTGAGGTAGGTAGATCACCTGAGGTCAGGGGTTCAAGACCAGCCTGACCAACATGGTGAAACCCTGTCTCTACTAAAAATACAAAAAATCAGCTGGCATGGTGGTGGGTGCCTGTAATCCCAGCTATTCAGGAGGCTGAGGCAGGAGAATCACTTGAACCCAGGACACAGAGGTTGCGGTGAGCCAAGATCGCACCACTGTACTTCATCCTGGTCAACAAGAGCAAAACTCTCAAAGGAAAAAAAACCTCTCTCTGTGAGAATCACTTCAACAATTAAGGTATTCCATGACTTCACGTGTAGTTAAAATAATCATGTGATGATTTATTTATATTCTGGGAAAATATTTATTTTCAAATATTCATATGCAAAGAAAGGAATCGGTTTGAGGAAGCCAGACCTCAAACCATTTGAAAACTTGTTTGAAATCGGAGGGATTCAGGGGGTCCTCCTCACACTCATGAACGGGGAATGACACAGAGTTTGAAACGTGGTGGGATACAGCCAAACCCAATATTTACAGGACTGATGTCGATATCCTTTGGGTCAACGAGAGGCTTCAAATTAAAATGCTGCAAAATGGCAGACAACAATAGAAACAACTCCATGCGAGCTAGGCCTTCTCCAACACACACTCGTTTTCCTAGAAGTAACAATGGTATTGATGAGACACTGAGGGAGTTTCAGAGACATGACGCTGTCAACAGTGAGACTAGGGGAAGCGGGGAGGAGGAGGCTGTGGGCAAATGGCCATCACAAGGCAGGACTCACCCCTCTCTGTCTATTAAAAGCAGCACAAAATGTACTTGAGTGGAAGAATACCAGCGACACTGACTAATTCAGGGACCAGCCTTCATCAACCTCAATTATCCAGAGCTCAACTACAAAAACCGGTGTTAAGTTGGGAAGACAGTGTCTGCCCAGTAAAGAAGGCACCCCCAGCGCTCACCAGTGATGCCTACAGGAGGGAAGTAGGGCCCTGTTAGAAGCTGGGGCTCCAGCATTGGGTGTGAAAAGTATGGAGTTGGTTGTGTGATCTTCCCACAACAATCCCTAAGATGAGGCCCTGGGAAGGAGGACAAGTGCCTCAAAGAGAGTCACTGAGTCACATCCCAGGAAGGCTTTGATGCTTCCTGTGATGATTCTAGGTAACCAAAGCTTAGGTTTTGTTTAGTAGCTCTGGTTTACAATTAGGGAGAATTGGGTAATATGGCTTTGAGAGCTTTTCACTAAGTCTTGTTAAAATAGAAACAGAATTTAGCAATGAATGATGTAAAATAATCTAGTCTTTGGGGAAAAAATCCACCTACAACACTTCATTCCCAGGATTGCTGCTGAAAGATGTTATGTAACTTCCCTGAACAGGGAAGAGTACATGTGGGTCATGTTGTCAATAGAAACAGGACACACAGTGAGGTTCGGGGTGTCAGTGGGTGCCTGGGACGAGGGCAGAGCACACGTGGAGTGGACATGAGGAGTGTGGGCTGCTCCTCTAGGGAAGGTGCTGCCTCTGATCGTTCTCACCTGCGGAAAATGGCTTGAAATAGTCACTGTACTTGAACTTCCCATTTTCATCCAGGAAGTGTTCTGGCTTAAACTTTTCTGGATCAGGAAATTCTTGGTTGTCATACAAAACAGAGTCCAGAGTTGGCACTATGACCGTGCCCTGGAAGAAACAAAGACTTGTCTCAGTGAGTCATGTTAACAAAATGTGGGCTTTCACCTGGAAACTCCCAGTGAAGAATGTTGTTTTGAATATTATGCTATAGAAGATAGTATATTTCCAACTGAGGGAGTTGCTTAGTGAAGGATTAGATAGAAAGCAGTCAGGGGTCAGGTCTAAATGAAGATGAAAGCCCTAATCTTCTCATAGGATTAACCCCAAGGCTGGTTGTGATTGTTCCTGGCATTAGAATTCACTACAGTCCCAGGCATTAACTGCTGAGGCACTTTTCCAGATTTCCTCCACCTCTCTGGTCACCAGGCCAATCTGAGCACTCCTGGGGAAGCAGCACTCCACAGGGTGGGAGTGGGGGGCAGCCTCTCCACTCGGTGACCCCTGCCAAAGGGAAGGGTCTTGGGGCCCCCATCCTGCTCCCTGGCATGAAGGCGATTAGCTGATAGGATGGTGTTCATGCTGTGTGCTCCAGGCTCACGCTGGACCTTGGGGATGATGTATCCTCTGAAAATGGTGTCTCGGGTTGCTTCATGGGGCAGGTTGGAGGGCACAAGGGTGATGAACCGCTGAATCTCATGCACCACAGCATCCATGTAGGGCATCTCTTGCCTATCCTTGATGGCGGGGATTCGGCTTGGCCCAATCACCCTGTCAATTTCTTCATGGAGCTTCTCTGCCAGGATAGGAATGGGACAAATTTAAGGGATTGGTTCATGGCCAGTTGGACATCCACCCATCATCCACCCATCTATTCAATCACCCTTTATCCATCTGCCCACCTACACATTCATCCACCCCTCCATCTATCCACCCCTCCATCCATCCATCCACCCTCCATCCATCCACCAACCACGCACCCACCCAATCATCCACCCACCCACCCAGCCAGCCAGCCATCTACCCTCCCATTTACCCACCCACCCATCCATCCAACCACCCATCCATCCACCCTCCCATACACTCACCCACCCATTCACCCTCCCATCCATCCATCCACCCATTTATCCACCCTCCCATCCATCCATCCATCCATCCACCCAACCACCCATCCACCCACCTACCCATCCATCCATCCATCCAACCACCCATCCATCCATCCAACCACCCACCCATCCACCCATCTATCCATCCAACCATCCACCCATCCACCCATCCACCCATCCATTGACCCATCCATCCATCCAACCATCCATCCATCCATCCATCCATCCATCCATCCATCCATCCATCCGTCCATCCGTCTGTCTGTCCACCCCCATCCATCCGTCCGTCTGTCTGTCCACCCCCATCCATCCACTCCCCTACCCAGTCAGAAGATGTTTATGGAGCATCCTAAGCAGTGCTTAAGTTTCCCTAGGTCCTTTGCATTACTGGAAAATTCTCCAAAAACTTAGTGAAAGCTAAGCTCTATGAGGTTATTTACAGGATGTTTTGGCATCCATTATCTTAGTTGATGACGGCTTATTCAGTTCTCTTCATGTAATGAGTAGAAGATAATGAAAGTGTTTTGGAAATTTCTTCTGGGAGGGTAATCTTTGCGTTGATAATTACTCCAGGCTTGTTTACTGCATGCTTCTGAGTATGAAGGGAATTTACAGAACAGAATCAGATATGCAGGGTCTACTTCTTGAAGTTGGACAGTCTCTGTCTTTCTGACAGAGGCCACAGCTGCCTTGGGCAAGTTGCCTAGACTTCCCGTGTTTGGAGTTTCCCATGGAACGTCATCATATGTTGAGTGAAAAAAAAAAAAACAAGCTGCAAAATGTTATGTACAGTACCCAGGTGAAATATTAAACACATACAGCAATAATATGAATATTGTGCTGAAAACTAATAACTGTTAAAGGTGCAAAGCCGCACAGCAATTCTGGAGCCATCTCTGGGGAGAGAGGTGGGGAGATGTGAGGAGGTGGACTTTGGCTGGCTCTGTAACACGTTTTCTTTTGGAGAGTTCTGACGTAAGTATCGCAAAATGTTAATAAAAGTTAAATTTGGCAATGGATATATGCATGTCAATCATATTTATTTTCCTTTTGTCTATATTGGAACCTCCTCATAAATAATAATTTAAAACATTTTTTGAGTCCATGGTTCCCCTAGTGCAGAGTAGTTGAAAGTTCTCTTATAATCGCTGCAGATCCATGCAATGATTCCTTCCCTAAACTTTTGGCTCCTTGACCCTTCACATTTCCATGTGATTGAAAAAGCAAAGGCCAGGGATGGGGCATGGTGGCCACACCTGTAACCCCAGCACTTCTGGGAGGCCAAGGCAGGAGGATCACTTGAGCCCAGGAGTTCAAGACCAGCCGACGAAACAGTAACAACCTGTCTCTACAAATTTTTTTGTTTTGAGACAGATTCTTGCTCTGTTGCCAGACTTGAGTGCAGTGGGGCACGATCTCCGATCAGTGCACCCTGTGCCTCTGGGATTCAAGCAATTCTCCTGCCTCAGCCTCCCAAGTAGCTGGAACTACAGGCGCATGCAACCACACCCGGCTACTTTTTTGTATTTTAGGAGAGA